GTTGGTGCAGCTTCTGCTGCAGCTACTCATCTAGCTCATATGAGAAACTGGATTTTGTTTTTAATAGCAGCAGGAGTCAGGGCAGGCCATTTGTACCACTTCGGGATCCCCTGGGATGCTGCAAAAGCTGCAGCAACAGCTGCCCTCCCTCTTGCCGTTTACATCTTTGGAATGGAACACAAGAGCATCTGTTCTGGCAGCTCTAAGATGGAAATGTATTTCTTTTTCCAGCTTTGTTTATACCCCTCGGAGTATATCACCATAGAGGGCAGTTGAGATTCTCGGCTTAAATGACCGAATACAGAACTATTGAAAAAAAGGGATTGCTCAAGAATATGGAAAGTCAGGGGTGTGAAGCCTAAAAAACATCACCTTTGATGTGCATCGAGTGTGTTCCTCAGGCACCAGCTGAGGAACCTGATTACCACCTGCTGAGGACAGAGAAGGTAACCTATTACAAATTCCAGGTGCCAATAGTGGATAATTAATTCCGCAGCAAAACTGTGCTTTCTGGGCAAATGAGATTGCTGTTGTGGTCATGATTCTATTAATCTTGTGTTTGAATTCTTACAGTAACACACAGCAAAAACCTGTCATGTGGAAATAGGAGAGAAACAACAGGCAGATGTAGGAATACGTCCTGGCAGTGCTTCCAGGCTAGGAAACTGTCTTGTGGAGCACGATGTCATGGAAAAGGGTGTCATGAACAACTTAACAGGTTTCTGGTGTGAAACTGTAGCTAAGAAGCCAAGTAATTAATGGAGGCAGAAGAATATCACGTTGTGTGTTAATCCTGTGTAAAGTGTGGATTGCTGTTTGGAATAAAGCCTATATTTAAGTGGGTCAACGCTCCCAGATGGATATTCACAATTTTGCAAGCATACGGGGATGGGAAGTGAAGAGAAAGCGAACATGAAGGTAAAGCTCAGTTTATTCGGAAAAAAATATGTAGACGACTCAACCACTGTTGCAGGTAGGAAGCAGAAAGTGAGATATTTCTGGTAAAGACTTGACAATTTGATGGCAAAAAGGAGTAATGAAATCCAGTGACTGCAGAGATGTTAATCTAAGATTATTAGTTCAGATCAGACCTTTAAATTTTCAGCTTCCCCTTCCTTAAAACATCTTGTTGAGATTCTTGGACTTTTATTAATAAGAGTGATGTGTGAATTTGCTTCTGTCCCTATCCTAAACCTCATCTTCCTTCTTTTCCTGCTTCTGTTAATGTCCTAGTAAATCCTCTGGGTCCCTTTGCAATACTTCCACTCGGAGAAACAAGGCCTTCTTTGCATTTCCTGCCATTAGAACGACTTTGCTGTGTATCACTCTTTCTCCCCAACCACTTCAAATCTTACTTCCTTGCCTTGCCTCCTAATTTCTGCTGTTTCTCACTGTGTTTTGTTTAGATGGGAAGTTTTGAGGAGAGTGCTATATAAAAAGGTGCTATGTACAGTGGAGAAGGACATCATATCAACATTTTCCATTCCTGTGCCAACACTGCTCTCCCTGTGAGGGAGCTGGGGAGGCTTTGTGTTTCTGCCTCCATGATCTTTCTTGCGTTTGAGACAGCTGATGTCAACTTCAGCTTCTCCATGTAATGATGATTCTACATTCTGATTGTCTACAGAATACCACCAATGGCTCTCAAAGAAAATGCAAGTCACATCATTTCCAGATTGGCAACCTGGCCTCCTTTTTTTTTTTCTTTTTTTTAACAGAAGTGGTTTTGTTGGTGCTCAGCCCTTCCCAGGTGTGTGCATTGTTGCCTGAATGACACTGGGCAGTATTTTTGCCCCTTACACAGCTGCTTGCCATCTGTTGCTGAGTTGGAAAGTGAACAAGTTTTAAATGGGAGCTGAAGGCTTGGGGCTGCTGAACTCATTTCAGCAGTGCCTCAGGCTGAAGGACGGGAATTGTATTTGCCTAATTAAGTAGTTCTGACAGCCTGTCCCTTGCAGCTGCCAGAGTTGAACTGCTCGTGGTTACCTGAAAAAGGACTTTAACATGGTCATGTTATGAGGGCGTTCCATTAATTGCCCATGTCCTCTCAGGCTAAGCGTCAGATTCAGCATGCGTCCACTGTGTCTCAGAGTGTGTTTTAAAGTGAAGCAATTTCTCCATGTAAGAGCTTCCTCCTTGACCTGCGATGCTGAAGTCAGACTTTCTGCCATTCAGAATGGATGAGTACCCCTCCAGGTGGGAAAATACAACCTCTCTGTGCAGCAGCAGAGCAGCCTGAGGTGACAGGAGAGTGCTTTGTAAGTGAAACAAATATTCTCAGTCCACACTATTTCCAGGTAAGATTTTTCTGAGCTCCCTCATAGATATACAAGTTGCATCACGTGGTTTGGTTAATCCTCTGCTGGCACCTGTTGGTGATAAGGTAACTTTTATGCCCTGCTGCTTTTGGTAGGTAGGTGGAATGCTGCCCTGAACCTGCCTGCATTGCTCTCCAAAAATTATTTCAAATTAATCAGCTGAGTGTTGTTATTTTATAGCTGCCCATCTATCCTGCTGACCGGTAATACTTGTAAACAATTGGGTTGGAGTGCCACAGGCTGGCTGCTTTTCGGTGGTAGGTCCTGCTGTAGGTCCCAAGCCCTTCCAGACTTGGGCAGCAGTGGAGCCTCAGTGATTCATACAAGTCAGGTGTCCCCAAAGAGGATTCATTTAACAGATATGTTTTTCAGTTGCTACGTCCCTTTTGCCTGCTTGCTACCTGTTACATGGAAAAGCCCTGCTGTGTTTTGTTGAGGAAGGATCTGTCAGGAATTGCCTGTTTCTTTTTCCAGATCACCTGCCTTTAGGGAGCATGTTCTGTCTTGACTGCAGAGAGTATTACTCAGACTTCAGCCAGATTTCTGAGGCAAATGCAAGTGAGAACAATGTCTCTCATCTTGTTTTTCTCTCCTATTCATAGCTGTGTATTGCCTATAATAATTCCTGCTTTTTTCACATCAGGAACAGAGGCCACCGTTATTGTTTCATCTCGATGTCTAAAGGGTACGGATCAAGAATTTTATAAAACAGTTTAAAATTGAAAGCTTTTCAAAAAACGTGATGAGAATATTGCCTTCTAGTTGTTCTTGTTCTACAAAAAAAAAGTCACCTCAAAGAGACATCCTACCAAGATGGGTCTGGATCAGCCATGCAGAAGGGACAGTACAGGTGGAGCAGGTGTCAGTCAGTACTTGCTCTCTTTCGGCTAGAGCTCACAGGTAGCCTGCATGTTGATGTTACAAAAAAAGTAAATCATTTGATAAGCAGAGTAACCCAATGTTTCCCAAACACAGGTGAATTTTCTCTGATCACGCTGCAGCTGGTTTGAAAAGAGTATGAACTACATAAGGGTGAGTTGGGAAGGCATTAGGGAGAAGTAGGAAAGAGGATGAGAAGCGGGAATATGTTGCTGGCAGGTATCTTAACTCTTCAATATCTTCTACTGCAGGGAAAGGGAAGAAAGGAGTGAGGCTGAAAATGAAAGTGGCAGAATTCCAGAGATGAGGGAAGAAGAGGTAATGCTGTGGAATTAAAATGGTGTGATGGGAGAGAAAGCCTGAGGAACTACTACGAAGAGAGGCGGTGAGGCATGTTCTGGAGGAAACTGGATGCAGGAGTGTTGCAGTTAAGTTGGGTGGTGTGTGGGCTGCTGGGCTGGAGGGGAGGAAGCAAATGCCCTCGGCTGTACCAGAGTACATTCTTACCAGGATGAATTACGGATCAAGTTCACAAACATGAAAGACATGCTTTGACACGTGGGTTTTATTGACTGAGAGTTAGTGAGGGCAGGAAAGGTGCCTGCACATGCCACCATGGCCTGAAAGAATCCCCTCCGAACCTCCTAAAGGAAAATTAACTCTGAGGAAACAAAGCATGTCTCAACAGTGTGAGAAAGCCACCTTTTTTTACTTACTGCTCAGGTGTCATGACTCCATGTTTTTACCACTGCTCAAAAGGTTTTTCACCTGCAATGAATCCTAATGGTGGCAGTCAGTGAGACATTCTTGTTCCCCCTTCAAGTATCCGTGCTGGTGGCTTTGCAGCCTTGGTGTTTGAGCTCTGACCAAGCAGGCAGAAAGGACTGTCAGCCTCAATCAGCAGCAGATCAAATATCCTTCCATCTCTCTCTTTTACCAAGCTTTCCTTGCCCAGGCTGTCTCTCTGTCGCTCTCCCTCCAGAGAAGTGGTACCATTTCATCAGTAAAACGAGACCAGCTCTCCAGGCAAGCCACAGACTTCGGCACAGTCTCAGAGGCATTGTGCCTTTCCGGATTTTTCTCTGTTGGAACTGTGGTCCTTTCTTGCAGCAGTTCCTCTCTTCTAATATGTGTCCATGTAGGTTTTGCTCTTCCACTCTCTACCACCAGATAGCTCTGTTCTCTCTTCCTTGGGATGGAAGTGACATTGTCTTACTGGTGCAGAAAATGGTGCCTCCAGAGGTGTTTTTAGTTGCTCAGATATATCACCAAAGTAGGAGCCCGTTTAGCATTTGTGAAAAATATAGGATATTTTATATGAAACTAGAAGATTGAATAGGAAGGGAAACAGAAGAAGGGGGAGAGTATACAGGCAATGGCTTTTATTCTGTTTTTTTGGTAGCTCTTCCAAATCCATATAAATGTGAACCTTGAAAGGTGCCACTATTCTTTTTTTTTTTTCTGGAAAAAGTGTACATTTGATATCCATAGAAGATGGATAAAACGGAGGAAAAGGGGACATGGTGCCAGGGGCTTGCTGTTCTGTTGCTTGCTGGGCAACAGCAGCAGCCGGTCACAATAAGTTTGATGCTTTGGAACCAAGAATTTTCTTGTACATTTGCCGCAAGTCACGGAATCTCAAAGTTTCAAAATGGCTTTGTAGGTCTATATATGTGAGCATAAGACTGCCATCAGTCTGGTGCTATCCTCACTGTAACACAGACTTTGCCTTCAGTAACTTTGGAAGCTTTTCTGTCGAGCTTTCGTAGTTCTGGTAGAACCGTAGACTTGACGAAGTCATGCCTAAGCCGGCTGGGAGGTCTGCTGCTTAACCCACTCACAAATCAGCTGGTGAGCAACAGCCTGTTTGGGAGGGAACCAGGGTAAAAAACTACCATCATCTTGCTTTGAAGATCTGGGCTCTCTCTTGAGACCCTCCACGATTTCCTCCAGGCCAAACCAACGGGCTTCCTCTAGTTCCAGACTGTCCGTACTGATCTGGAAAGAATTCAGAGAGCACCAATTCTTTAAATCAGATTTAAATGTGGGTGAACAGCGGTGCCTTGCTTGTTCTTGCACCCACAAAGATCCCATGCTAGAATGCTTTATCCATGCCTGAATTAAGTGCTGGTGCCAATACAGGAAAAGACAGTACTATCAACCAGTGCTTTGTTATCTTGGTTTCCTTAGGGAAGCCACAAATCAGGGAGCCCTGTTCCATCATGGCATTGCCCTGCACAAAGTACCAGTGGGTGAGCAATAAAAGTGGCAAAATCTGCATGTTCTGTGGCAAATATGGCATTAATACTAGAAAGTACCTCCTTGGCAAAGTTCAGTGGAAAAAATACAGGGGTATTGGGCTCTGGGCTTGTATATACACAGTGACCTGTGCAAAATCTGGCATGTTGCAGCAGTTTGTTCTTCTCTTGTAGAGAAAGCCGATGGAATACTGCATGTAGAGAGGATTTGATGCTCTCCAAACTAAAGTCTGTGGACTGGAAGAGATTTTGGTACGTAAGGCAGGCAGTGAAATGCCTCGGAGGAACCTGAGTCTGCTCACCTCAGCCTGCTGGGCTCTCACCGACGCGTGACAAGCTATCATTAAGCAGCTGCTGGGAAAGGGCCAGTGCTGAGAAGCTGAGTACCTGAGTGACTCCACCTCCAGGCCCACCTCTTCCGCCACCTCTCGCCGGACTGTCTCCTCCACGGTTTCACCTAGAAGCAACCAAAGTTTGGTAAGGACGCCCTGGCCTCAGGGCCAGCAAACCGTGGCAAGGAAAACGTAGGCACACTCCTTCCTGAGGTGTTCCAGCCCTGACTGCGCACGCAGGAGCGCCGACTGTGCTGACCTGGAAATGCTTGTCAGCAGGATGCTCAACTAAATTCATCAGCAATGCTTACCTCCCTTAAACAGAGGCATCAGGGATGTTTTTGGCTTTGTCTATATACTGCTGGCTGACAGAACAATGCTGCCTCTCTTCATCATTTCCCTTTTAAAGCCATTTTCCCTCCTGTAACAAGAGGTCTGTGTTTTTTCTTCTGAGCCAGACTGCGCTAGACACAAAATGGACTAAAAAAGTATCTTGGATTCTAACCTGGGGAGTCTTACACTTGTATTTACCACCAGAGACTGGTGTAACTGATACACACCCATAGTTCCCATTCTCTTCAGATACATACAGCTATTTTGAATTCTGTCTGAATGGCAACACTGATATGTTTAAATCCAGTATGTTTTTCCCAGGTATCACCTATGTTTCCATCCTCTGGGAACAGGCATTTGCTTGATGTCCCACTTTCCTGCCCCCACACCCTGCATGTCCGAGGCCACCACTCTGGATCAGAGACCACCTTACCCACGTCGCAGAAGCCCGACAGAGCGGTGTACATCCCCTGGGGAAACGAGGGCTGTCGTGCGAGGAGGCACCGGCTCCCATCAGACACCAAGGTGATAACCACTGGAGACATCTAGCAAATGCATCAAAAAGCAAAGGAAGGAGTTCAGACCGAACGAGTAAGTGCAAATTGTTGCTTTTCCTAGTGGTTGGGGGGTCACTAAAGAAAAAGCACCCCTGCTGCCTTTTACAAGTTCCCCTCCTCGGGACCCAGCAGCATTGCCTTGTTGCCACAGAGACCCTGCGTCCCTTACCTTTGCTGTTCAGGTGCTCACCTGTGGATAGTAAGTTATTCCGCTGGCACGGCAGATGCGCTTGCTGCCAGCGACGTTCTTCTGAGTGGGCTGCCCAGTTTTGCTACAGTACTGGTGGGAATCGTGCCACCGGAGAAGGGACTGGGCCTGCGAACACCCAAGAGAGAAACACAAATCTTATTTATACCTGAGGCAAAGAGATGATTCAGAGCAGTCTCCCTGAATAACACTTTGCTGTCTTCTCCTCAGCATGCAGTCGTGTGGATTAACTCCGATTATGTTTGGAAGCCTCAGAAAGGTAAATTAAGAACGGGCACTGCTTTGAAAAATGGCAGATTGTGCAGTTGACGTTTCGTGCTTCTTGCTTTAGCATCCAAATTTGAGCATGTTTGGGGGAGGTGGGGAAGAGTTGTTCTTTATTGGGATAGAATGGGAGTAGCAATGGGAGCTGAACTATTCTAAGGAGTCTCCAACTCTGAATACCTTCTTGAAAAATAGCCCAAGCACTACAAACATTATCGAGCAGGAAAAGAAACACGAGCTGTTTCTACTTATGGGTCAGGACAGCTGATTTTCACGCACAGGTCTTTTCTTGGGGCTTCCAAACATAGGGCATCGGCAGAGTAACAGCTTGTAAGTGAGTAGTTTTAAAAGAGCCGCTCTGAGAGATCTGTTAGTTTGTTTGTGAAATTCAGTTTGCCTAGAAGATTACAGAAAACTAGTGCCTGACAGTTGTTAAGCTGAGGGCAAACTGGGATTACTGTGACTACTGATAAGATCAGTATGTTTCACACTGGATGTACAGTAGGTTGATGCTAAATGGCTAATTACTGAGGTTGTTTTTAAGCCACTGGTCTGTTTCTCTTTCTATTGCAGCTTACTTTTGAGGTCAGAAATTTGGGAAAACTGCTGTAATGTATAGTGTGTTTGTACCTAGGTCACTGAAAGTGTAGAGCAGGTACTTCTACAATATGTATTAAATCATGAAACAATATGGGAAACAAGGAGAAGGTTGATGTTTAGAAATCACAACTTCTTAAAGTAAAAAAACCTGTACAATACCGAAGCCAACAAAGGAGAATCCTTCCCATCCACTATGAAGAGAGCCTTTTCTAAGTCAGTAAATGATCCCTTGAGTTCAGACTCAATGACTGATTTCTCCAAGGCTCCTGTTTAAAAAAACAACAACAAAAAATCTTTGATCTCATAAATTGCAGTTATTATCCCAACTTCATGCCCTTCATTGTTCCAGTATACAATTTCTGGAAGTTCTCATGGAAGTGACATCACATCAGTGGTAACGTTCCCAAATGTTAAGCGACCTGCCAACAGCCCACCTAAGACACACACGACAACAGCCGCACGGTTCTGTGGCTCTGGTCTGCCACGCTCACAACAGCTCCTGCAGAGACTCAACCGAGTCCTCTCTGGCAGTAAATGTTCACCCAGCGAGGAGCTCGGGATGCTGCCCGGGCAGCATCTTCACCTCAGTGCGTCAAAAGTGACGCAGACACCTATGGAAGAGGAGTCATCCCAACCTAAATCCAGGGCAAAGCGTGGTACGTGCTCGTCTGAACAACCGATCAGCACCGACTTCTCTATCCACTGTTCAGTCTCTTTGAACTTCTCCAGGATCCTTTTCATTTCTAAACGGCAGGGGAAAGGGGAAGAAAAAGCTATGATGAAGGCAAATTTATACAACCATGATGCTCTCCCTGGATCACCAAGGCATACACAATCTTGGCTCAAGGCAGGGTGCTCACGTGAGTGAGGGGACCAGACAAGTGGTCCCACCCGGATGGAGACCAAAAGTCTGGCTTTCCTCTTAGCTGTTGGAAGTTTTGACCACCTCAGGCTAAAGATACAAACATTTTCATGCTTGGGGGAGCAGCTGTCCGTTCTGTTTCTGTCCTACACCAGCCAATACCGTTTTCTCGAGGAAAACTTTTCATGCGTTATGCCAAATAACCATTGTCGGTTAGACCTTGCTTGCTTTCCTGCCAGCTCTTTCTCTTCAAAAGGCACAGTCTCAAATGTCTAAAACTGACCATCTCAAACCAGATCAGGTATATGTTGATATCACATGTGTGTGAAGAGCATGAGCTTGTGTCTGCTTGCCAAGGTTTTAACTCTCAACAGTCTTTGGTGGTTAACAAATAGCATGCTGCATGTAGCAGGATGTTCTCGCATAGCTCCTCAACTGCTATGTGAGGGGTGGTTTATTGTAAATGACTCTGTATCGTTTCAGCTGTGGGATCCAGGAGGTGTTTCTTCCTGGACACCTGCTTACCTGCCGCACTGAGCTGCGGTACCAAGTATTTCTTCTCAACTTTCTGCAGGAAGGGGGAGAGATTGTGAAAGAGGTAGAAAGTTCCTGAGGTCTGAGCTTGTCTACAAAGGCTGTCGTCTTCTTTTAGCTCATTTAAGTATCTGCAGTGAGAAAAGAATTGGGAAGATGAGTTCAAGGTCACGTTGAGATTACCTGTGTTGCGCTTATTTGGTCTCATTTATTTTGCACAGAGCAGGGGGCCTGAATGGACAGTACAGTTTTATGCCACATGCTTCTAGAGATTTCAACAGCTGAGTCTACTATCTGGTGGGCTGTAGCCTCAAGTCTTGGACTTCCGAGAAGATCAGTAACCCAGCCTCTTAATCCAAGAGGTCTGCTTTATAAACGTGATCGTTTGTGTGCAGGAAACCTTGATCTTCCCTTTGATCCCTCCCAATCTGGATGGCTCCAAGTCCTATTTGGTGAGACTGCTGAGCACGTCAGGTGTTGAACACGCTTCCCATCAGGCTACACGCGTTACTGCAGCATAGGTGCTACCTGTCACGCTGGTGTGAGGGGTAAAGACCAAGCTGAAGTCTTAGGGCCCCGCTTCTTTCGGCCTGTTTGAAGCAGTGTTTAAAACAAGGTGAGCAGCATCACTTCAAGTCTGCTTGTGTTTTAAGAGACCTTTAGCTAAGACAGCAAGCATTATCAACAGCTCATTAACAGAGCTTCAGCCCGAGAGAACCAGTTCTTACCAGTGGGGAAGGGAGCGGAGAGGTTTTTGACTGTTGCCATTTACAGAGCTCACATAGCATTACTTTATTATTGCTGAACTGTTAAAAGATTAACCCTCGGGGTGGATTCAGGTAGGGCTGCGTGTGACAGTGGACATGAGTGCCAAACTCCGGTCTCCTCACCGTACGCAAGAGTCGGATGAGAACTTACCTCATTTTTCTAACATAGGTAGAGCGTAACCTGCAGAAGAGAGAGGAGGCTCTTCTGTGCACTGCTCGATAAATCGCAGCCATAACCAACACCTACAGGTAGCTGTGTCTGCCTGAAAAGAGAAGCGGAGAATATAACGCAGCAGCCCTGCAAAACTGAGTTTGATTTAAAAGGTGCAATAACCCAGTGCCAGCGGGAATGCCCCCCTTGCAGAGTCTGCGGAATGCTGGCGTCTGCTCCCTGAAATTACCGCTTTGGTCTCAGTCCGTAGTCACGCACATCAACCCCAGTCTCAGGCAATTTTTGAGACTATTTAAAGAGACCTCAGTTCGTTTCCATCTGTGAGCATGCACAGGTCTTGCAGAGGTTGCCATGAGACTAAGTTAAATGTTCCTGTCCTAAACTCCTATATCCTTGGGGAAAAGGGCAGAGAAGGTGGCTGCTCTCTTGTTTGTTTCCTGCACGGTTGTAATGGCCTCAAACCAGCTGAACATCCTATTGCAGCACGCAGTAGATCTGTGGGAAAGGCACGGATGCCAGAAGAGAACGAAAGACAAAATATCAGCTGCGGAAGAGAATTCCCCGAGTTAGATGAGAGACAGCAGTTGCAGCTGAATTGGATCGTCTCCAGCTATGAATGTTTTTTTGTGCCAAAGGATCCTACCACGTTTTCAGCTCTGGCAGTCACAGACTGCAGAACTACGATCCGTAATACTTCATGATTATTTTGAGTATTTCCCTTTTCAACCATAGAACTGGAAGCCCTTTAAGGAGGAAGTTACGTTTGCTTCGATTTACAGACACATAAGCGGTGCCAAAGAAGAGTCTGTGAGTCCTTCCTTTCGGAGAAGGTCAGTGATGGCTCCCGAGCCGGAGCGGTGCCTGAGCCGGAGGCTGCTATCCGTACGTGGAGGCAGTTTCTGTAGCCGGCAGCGAAGGCTTTGCCTTGTGGCTTCCAACAAGGAAGCCTTGGATTCTTCTTTCCCACTGTCTCAGCTGGGGGTGGTCTTCACCGGGACGATCCCTGGGGAGACGAAGGAGCCAAGCCTGCTGCGGAAGCCGCTGGGGAGAGCATCGGCGTCCCTGCTCTGCGCTTCAGCCGCGGGGAACTCGGCACGCTGCCGACGGGCTCGGGCAAACACAGGCGAGGACGGCGGCTGTCGCAGAGGCCGTGTCTGAAACAATTCTGTGGTGCCACGGTTACGTGCCCGTCGCTTCTCCACCCCCACGTCTCGCGCAGCCTGGCGTGTGAAAATCTCCAGCGCGGCCGCCGGCACCGAATCCGAGGAGTTTACAAACAGCTCTGCACTTTGCTCTGGAATGAGCAGCGGGATGTGACCGGCTGGGAACAAGAGGGAATAGCTTGTACCTGGAACGTTGAAATGCAATATATGCAGGCGTTTAACCCCTTCCTTCCTAGGAACCACAATGCCAAATTTTGGGTAGGATCACCGAAAACTCAAGAGTCAGTAAAAACTTGGATTCCAGGAGGCCAGTCCAAACTCCCATGTTGCCTGTAAATCTCACCTACGCTGCATAGCTGGCAGGAGCGGGATCTTAAACCTCGTTTTTCCCCACATTTTCCCCACTTACTGTGCAGGAGGAGTGCTGTCTCCAGCAGCAGGGATCAGCTATGGGAGTCCCAGCTTGACCTCGGTTAGAAACTGCTCCCACAGCAGGCAGCGGGGCAGCTGCCTTGTTTCTTCCCCCACTGGGAGCCCTGGGAAATGTAGTTCTCCCCAGGCTGCTCGCAAGTCCTTGGCAAGGCTAGGTGGCTGACTGTCTGCTCCGGATTCTGATTAACTCCTGGAGTTAGTGGGGCTGCCTGAGAGTAAACTCTCTTCTCCCCTCCCACCTTCCTCATTCTGTCAGAAATCCACGTACTGTATTTTGCCAAGCAGAAGTTATTATGAGAACAATGCTACTGCAGTAATTTGAGCTGCTCTTAGCAGAGGAGTTTGTTCCTATTAGCTTCTTTCTTCTTTTTCTCCCTTTTTTAAATTCATTTTCTCCCCTCGAGCTTCTCTGTTGTGTTTTTTTTTATCAGTAACATAAGGGCGTTGTTTAAAGTTAAGGACCATATGTCCTCAAACAAGAAAATATGCCAAGAGCTGTATCTGTCTAAAGGACGGACCTGCTCAGTGTTCAGGCACCCAACCCTGCAGTTGAATTTGCAAGTGAATAGCTCTGATTAGAAAGCGTGCTTTGCCAAGACGGATGTCGGAATAATGACAAATATTTTTCATGCCTTTATAACTGAACAAACAGATTCCTCTCAAGGACTGAAAACATTACTCTGGGCTGGAACCTACCTGCCTATATTTAGCACAAAGATAATTTTATAAACATATGAAAGTAAATGTTTTTCAGGGCGGCCTTTTGCTTTTTGGTCATGAGTTGAGACATTGTAATCGAGAATCCACGTCACGTAATTTGAGAGCAGAGCTTGTAAAAATAATAAATAGAATATGCAGGGAAATAGCACTCTTGTTACCAGCGTTACTTACAAGTTTAGGTTTAATTATGCTTGACTGCTCTTTGTGTGCTTCCTGAAACAGAGCAAGCCCAATCTTATTAATCCACTAGGTTAATTGGATTAATGGACAAAACCCATCTTCCCTTAATAAGATAAAGGATTGAAATATAATCGCTAAGAGAAGTATCCACCCTGCTATTAAAACAAACTAACAGATTTATGGACCCTAACTTCCCCCAGAAGAGCGGATCTTGCAAGAAGAGCTGGCTTTAGAGGGAAGCAGTTGGAGGAGATACTTTGGACCTCAGATCTTGGGAGAGCCTTCAACCCAAAGCAGTTGGTCATTTGGTAAGTGCATCCCTACCTACGTGAAGAATTAAAAGCCAGAGCACTGTGCTGCAGTGGAAAGACTCCTTGGAAGGCAGCACAGTGCTGTAGCCTCTTGTTGCTAAACACAGCTGAAAAAAAAACCCACTTGGATTAGCCCAGTCGTGTATACCTGGCCTCCGTTCTGTGGGAAGATACATAGAGAAAATAAGATTAGAGTCACTTCTGTGACCGCTCTGACCAGCGGGAAGCCACACAGTCCATGAGAGATTCCTTGTGCCTTCTCCAAGGATCCACACACCTCCGTGTGATTGCACGTTGCCCTATTAAATATTTCTGCAGCACGCAAGCAAGGGAGATGATTTTGAAAATAAAAGAGGCTTCCTCATCACTTATTGACATAATTATTCAGTTCAATGAGCACAAATACCAGTTGTTGCTTTGGCACCGAGTTGCTTCTTTGTAAGTATTTTTTGAACCAGGCTCTAAGTTGTGTGAATTGCATCTATAAACTGTGTTTGTGCCCTGCAGATGCTGTGCTCTGTGCTAGAAGCAATCCTGCGAGTGAAGCGAAGGCCTGGTCATACAGATGCATCTCTGACAGCTTCCTGGAGCTTACTCATTTGAGCTTTGGCAGGCCACCAGAGGAAGTGGAACCCTGAGACTCTCCTGATGCAAGAAGAGCAAACAAAAGGAGCAGACAAGGAGGACACAAGCAGCAGGAACAAATACTTGTGATCTTTGACATGGACAAAGTTGCAAAATAGGTAAATCTTTCGTCCTGTGTGCTAAGTTGTGTTGTTGGTTTGTTTTTAAATCTGGCTTTGTAAAATACTCAATATTAGCAGTTGGTAAAACATTTTTTTCAAGCTAAAGAAGCGGCTGAAAAATGTAATTGTAGGCTAATAATGGTTATACCAGTAATCTTGCTTTTTCTTGCTGTTCTGTTTGTGTCTTTCCAGCTGCCCCCAATAAGCAGAAACAAGCATCAGAATTGCTAACAGCTGGCCCTTGCAAAAGGACTGTTAATTGCTTTAACTACATAAAACTAGCAAACTCACATTGAAAACTTATGGTCAAGCCACAAGGAACCTCTTGGTAAGAAAAATATTTCTTTTTTAGGAAGAGCCCAAGGAAAGACAAACCATTTCTTTAAAGAGAAAGTTAATGAGCAGTCTTTCCCTCTATCATTAAATTTGAGATGCAAACCAACCAAATCTGGCTTTTCTCTAAAGTTAGACTTGTATATTATGTATACGATGGACTCCTCCATTTTTCTCATACTCAGGGTGGGGAACTTGAAAGAAATAAACTGTCTAATTTGATCCTGCTGGTTATGCTTTGTGCTCCTAACGCTTGCACAGGTGTAGAGGAGACTCTTTAACACCTGAATGACATTTTAGTAGGATTTGCTCATTTCAGCTCATCGGGGTAGGTTTTTTTTTATCTTTTCCCCTCGCAGCTGCTGCTGGTTAGAGAAGATCCTCAAAACTCTGGCTGTGCTGCACAAAATAACTGCATGTAGGATCCATCCTCTTGACTGCAGGTAATGGCTTCATTTTGGGAGCAGACTGACACATGTGTGAAACGAGATGAGGCTTTGATGTCTTTACAAAGGGTAAACTTAAGTTGTAATTACACTTTAAAAAGCTAAGCAGTACTGTGAGCTAACTTAATACGACATAAAGATGACTCACCTGTGTCTTGAAACACTGCATGCAGGTCATGGCCCGCTGTCTCCAAAAGGATTCTGAAGAACTGGAAAGGGCTCAAAGAGGACAGCAAGCGTGATCAAAGGCTTCGAGTGCGGCTGCTGTAAGGAACTAGGTAGGCTCTGCTGCTTCAGCCTGCGTAAAGGAAGAGGTACCAACTGTTTTGTGTCTCTTCCTGGGCAGGAACATGGTTAATCAAGTCTAACTAGCTGGAGCCACCTTCCCAGTGGACAAACAGAGGTGGTTTTCCATGCCCTGGCTAAGGGATGGCGCAACTGCCAGGTAAAGCATGTTGTGGATGGCAAACAGTTCTAGCTCGAGGGAGGGGAAATACTTAACAGAGAGCTCCGCTGAGCTTTACTAAGTAGATGGACCACGTCAGGCTGAGAACATCCCTAAGGTAGAAGTGTTGGGAGACTGGGACAGTACTCTAGGCAGTGTGAGCTAAACGAAGCTTCGGTGTGAGCTCCTCCAGCTGTGTCCTTAGGAGGCCTCTTGTGCTTATTTCTTTGCCTTCAGCCCCACGCTGACCGATACGAGCGGGCCGGCTACTAAACATGCTAATAAA